GGGTGGTTATCTTGATCAGCAACCTCCCCCCACCTCCCACCCGCCTGCCATGCTCTTACTCCTGTGGGGCAAGACTTTCCTTGGAATGTGTCCATTCACATAGAAGTAACACTGAGGCCTGAACTCTTGAACTGGTACTGACCTTAGGTTTCTATCTTCTTTTCTCCATAATTCTTACTTTTGCACCTTTAAGAGATTTCTAAGTCTGTAAAACATTGCCTGGGAAGATCTGAGTCACTAATCATTTTTTTTCTACTAATCTTATTACCTAAATTTATAGAGTAATACTTATAAGATGCAAATACTTATAAGTATTATATATAGTTGGTTTTGGACTGCAGTGGTAATGCTGAGGGGCTATTCCAGCTCTGTGGCCAGGGATAACTCCTGGAAGTGCTCAGAGGACCGTATGGGTTGTAAGGGATCAAACTGGGATGGGCTGAAGTGCTTCCCTTCCTGCACTGTCTCTCTGTTCCTCCAAGTGATATTTTTAGATAGGTCTGTGTTTTTGTGGTTTTCCTGCCTCTCATGTAATCTTCTAGAGAAGAGGTCAGGGCCAGCGGGATGGTTCCAGGTGTGGAGCACATGCTTTGCTTGTGGGGGCCTCGGGACTAGGTCTTCCCCAAGCACAGGTGGGAGTGGTTCTAGGCAGTATGCAAGGATGTCTCCTTAACAGCATCCTGTGTGCCACCGCTCTGAAGACAAAAAAACATATGCAAGCTCTGGAAATAACGTAGAGGCCATGTACAGTGCTGCCTGGAGGACCTGACACACCCTGGAGAGGGGCCACGCAGGATTTGGGGCCAGGGCCTGAGTATGGGGCTCAGGACAGCAGTCAGACTGGGGTAATGCTGGTGTCAACGCTCCATGCCATGGGACTGTCACCCCCACCCCACCCCGATTCTACCTTAAAGCCTACCCAGTCAGTCCTTACTGAGACACTGTGTCTCCGTGGACAGAGCTGAATCTAGACAGCTTTATGTAATCCTGTTTCTAGAAACCTTGACAAAGTGATTCCAGAGGTAAGTGTCATCTTCATTCTCCACGGCTGTGCTGGGGGCAGGGGGGGCAGCCAGGGTCATGGTGGTGCGCATCCGCCTCCTGTCTGGGGCCTGGCACCGCCCAGTCCCAGGACCCTGGTTTTGCAGTGAGACGAGAAGCTCATGCTGGGTGACTCCAGTGGTCTGAGTGTGACGTCTGGCATCCATGAGAAGGTCTGAGTTACAGAGAGAGAAGGGGAGAGTGCCCAGGAGCCAGGATGTAGAACATTCGAAAGCCAGAAGATGCGTGTTGTCCTGGGGCAGGACTTTCCCCTCCCAGCCCCATCATCTGAGAAGTCCTCATGCAGCCCTAGGCATGTAGATACATAAAACCACACACATATCAAACATTTCCTCATGTTTATGCCTGAAGAAATACATTTTAAAACAAGCTTTTGGGGGCTGGAGAGATTGTACCAAGGGTAGGGAGTTTGCCTGGCCCTCAGCTGACCTGGGTTCAATTCTTGGCATCCCATATGGTCCACCAAGCCCACCAGTGGTCCCTGAGCGCAGAGCCAGGGGTAAGCCCTCAGCATAGCTGGCTGTGCCTTTTCCCAAAAAATATAAATCAGCTTAGATGTCTGTCCGCTCTGTTGGCTTGGTGCTCTAGGGTCACTGCTTGTGTGCTCAGGAACCATATGTGGTCCTGGGGGTCAAGCCCCATCACTGCTTGCTAGGCCAGGACGTTCCCACTGTGCTTTCCAACCTTTCGTTCTGTTTATTCTTAGATATCCTGCAGTTAACATGGATCTTAGAGAATGTTCGTTCATGTCCCAGGTTTTACTGGCAGAAAAGGACCTGTCCTCCAAAGAGAGGCGTTCCCCAAAGTTGAGAGTACACGGCCCTTCCTGGGGCTGCCAGGCAGAAACCTGAGCTGAGGACTGCTGTGCTTCTGGCCTTGCTTTCTTCCTCTTGCCTTCATTGTGTTTTATTCTTTATTTCTTGTAGGTGCCGGGGTCTAACCCAGGGCTGCACCCAGCCAGGTGTGTGCTCAGTCACAGACCTGTCTCTTGTGTGTTACCTTTGTCTCTTTAAAACCAGATTGCCTCAAAGGGAAAAAGAAAAGCAAAAATGCTTGCCACAGAGGCAGGCTTGGGGCAGGAGAGAAACTGGGGGCACTAGTGGAGGGAAGTTGACACTGGTGAAGGGAAAGGTGTGAGGTATTGTATGCCTGAAGCCCAATCACAAACAACTTTATATTTCATGGGCATTCAGTAATAAATAAATCTGTATGTGGTTTTTGTTTGTTTTGGCTCACACCCAGGGATGCTCAGGGTTTGCTCCTGACTCGCACTCAGGGATCACTCCTAGCTGGGTTCAGGGGACCATATGGGGTGCTGACTATCAAATCCAGGATGGTTGTGTGCAAGGCAAACCCACTGTATTATCTCTTTGGCTCCATAAATAAATCATTTTAAACATAGAAGTAGGCTCGGGGGTGTGTTCAAGCAGCAGCCTTCTAGGCCTGGGGCCCAGGCCAGGGGGCTTCACACTGTCCAGGCAGTGTGGGGCAGCCAGTGCTCAGTGCTGGAATATGCCAGAGTGACACTGTGGTGCTTGAGGGTCTCCAGACATAGACCTAGTGGTCCTGGGGGGGCTTCCATGGCTGTCCCGAGCTGTGCTCAGGCGTCAGTGATGATGGGGTTCAGACGGCCCATAGAGCGGCTGGGCCTGCACCCTCCCCTGACTGCCTCTCAGCCCCTCCAGGCAGATGTGCCCAAGCTGTCCTGGTGACGCTGATACTCCTGATCTAGGAACTCAGCAAGGGGACTCTGGAGCTAGGTGTGTGTAAGCAGCACCAGCCCTGCAGGCAGCTGTGGGGACCCCTCCCACAGCACTGGGCAACAGCAGGGAGACAGCACAGGAGGAAGTCCCATGTATGCTGCTGACCCTGGCTGCAATGGTACAGGAGCGCCTCGGGGAGGCCACACCTGAGCACTGAGCACCAGCAGGTGTGGCCTCAAAACCAGAAATGGGAACTATGCACTACCTCTGTGTCTGTTAGCCTTGTGAGCGTTAGGACAGTGTCTGCCTGCATAGGGTTTCCGTTCATTGTCTTGACTCTGAATTAGGTCCTCACTTCTTAAGTCTTCCCAAGCCACCTCCCAGAATCAGATATCCCTTAGGGTCACTGATCTTGTGAGATCATGCAGCTTCAGAAAGGTGTGTGGAGGAGGCTAAAGTCTCTGTCTTATTGCAAATATGTGTGCATTGGGGATATATATATATTTATATATATATATATTTTTTTTTTTTAATGAACTGAATAGGGAGTTAGTTGCACAGTAACACACATTCACCAAAAGGAAAAGGGTGGGGGGTGGAATGCACGTTAATTCATTGTGTTTTTTGATGAATGGCTTGTACACTGAAAAATAAATTGGACAAACTGGCATAGAGCTCAGTGAACATGAAATCAGCTATTAGAAGAAAGCTTGCGAACAAATTCTAAGGCAGATATGCATCTTTTGATTAATGCCCTATCAATCATCCACACAGCTACCTTAGCTAAGTCTTGCTGTAATCATTCATGGTTGCTTTCGGAAACACTGGCAGAAACTATAACACTGAAGAAATGGAATATTATTACCGAATTCTCTCTAACTTACTATGAACAATGACTATTTTCACCATGTTTTTAGCTTCCCTTTATTAAAGAAATATAATGAGAATGAAAGGAGTATCCTCCAAGTCTGGTGGAATTCTCCTTAAGTCTTCTCAATGACATTCAGTTTTAATGGGTAAATGCTTGTAATACAAGGTTGTTGGCAGGAACAATAATATTGTAACCCATTGAAGCTACGTTTTATGGATTGTAGTCAAAAAGGCAAAAGAGGAATCCCATTCATGAACAGAGTTTGTCTTCGAAATTAGTGTTTAAAATTGCTGAAAAGGTTGAATTTTGCTAATGAAATTATTATACCCTCAGTTAATGCACTTAATAGCAATAATAATTAACCCACCAGATTGAAAATTTGCATGTATTATACAGATCACAATACAAAAGCTTCCACTGATTCTTTCTGGATATTCAGTGCAGGTTAGGAACAAACTATATGTAATTTTTCACTGGTTATTTTTGAAGAAAGAAATTTCTTGAATATAACTAAAAGTACATTTTTAAGTCATTGGCAAATTTTCAAGAGCACTTCATTCTCTTAAGAGGATTTGGTTCCTAAATTTTTCTGGCAAAAAGAAAAACCTGACACTCTGTAGTTCTAAAACCAAGGTAGTTCTGTGGATTCCTCAGAATTCACAGTAGCCTGGAAGATCCTTTGGCATAATGAAGTGGTGACAGGCATTAGCATGTCTAATGGGCTTTAATAGACATTTAATTCAGTTTAGCTAGAAGAGGGAGCATTGCTCTCCCATTGGAATATAGCTCCATCGAAGCCCATTGATCCCCGATTTCAGCTGGGAGAGGTTAATCCATCAGCTTCTGTAACCAGACGGCACTGATGGACATTCTTTAGGTGGCATTCTGGATGAACTGAGCTTTCCATCTTTACAAACAAATGAGTGATATGACAAGCATGGTGTTCAAAACACATTTAACCAATTGATTTTCTTTCCTCTTGTAATAAGATCTGGAGACATATGAAAGTGCGCAGTGGGAGCTGAGATTAAAGGAATTGCTCCATGCACAGAGCACGCGGAACCAGAGCCAGGAGCAGGACGATAAAGCATGTAGTCACCATTTCCCGTTTCACAGAAAGGTTGTTATTGCAGTAAATAGTCTTCTGAGCGGTGCCTCTGCTCTGGACTCTGCATGTGTGCTCGGATGACATGTTCTGTGTAGCCATATTTCTCTTGGAGCTTTTAAGATTCTGTCGATAACATTTTGATCTGTGATTTCAGCAGACCCAAGGGCTGTGGTTTGGGCCGGTCCTGCCTGGAGGGCGCACGCATAAGCGTGCCTGTGCCTGGGCGCAGTCCTGATGGTCTCTCTTTCCCCTGCAGTCCTGCCCTGAGTTTCACCTACCCGCCCGCGCCTGTGTCTCTCCACATGCACCAGCAGCTCCTGAGCCGCCAGCAGAGCTTAGGCTCCGCCTTCGGACACAGCCCTCCACTGCTGCACCCTGCCCCGACCTTCCCAGCCCAGAGGCCTGTCCCAGGGATTCCTGCGGTTCGGAACCCTGTGCAGGTCAGCTCTGGCCCATCCGAGGCGTCCCAGGTGAGATGCTGCAGGCAGGTCTGGGGCGCGGACGTGCTCAGTTGAGATACTGAGCTCAGGCTCCGGCAGCCCTGGCCTCCCCGCCCGGGTGCTTCTCCACAGACTGTGGCTTCCCTGCCCGGGTGCTTCTCCGCAGCCATCCCCAGCTCCGTGGGGGCCTCCATGGCGCTGCTGCTGAACTCCTAGCGTTCGTATCCCCCGGGGCCCCACCCCGTTCTCAGACCCCACACAGAACACCCATGTCCATTGCCTGTTGGTCCGGCCACATGCACACACCTGTCCTCCCTCCAGCTGTCACTCTGGTTTCAGGCTGGGCCGCGGGTGCCTGGCCACCTCACCCTCACCTCTGGTGGAAAGGGGCCAGGATTCCAGGGTCCTGGACTGGAGGCTGGTGCTCTTTGCCACCTGCATTCCCAGCCCCTCCACTGCTTCTCCAAACCTGGCTGTGCAAACAGATGGCACTGGCTGGAGAGATGGGAAAGTGGGGAGGATGCACGTCTTGCATGCTTCCATGGGGTCTGGTCCCCTGAACCCCACAGGGTCCCCCAAACCCCACCAGGAATGACCCCTGAGCACAGGGCTGGGTGTAAGCAGTGAACACTGCCAGGTGTGCCCCCCGTGCTGCTCTCACAGGAGGACACGAGACTCCTCAATCAGAATTGAGGGGTCCCACCTGACAGACTCAGGAGGGGCTCTGTGGGCCCTTCTCACTGCTGCCCTGCCCCCAACAGCTCTGACACTCCCTTAGGATTCACGCCCCAGCTCTCCCCTTTGCCAGGCCGGGAGGACACAGCAGGACTCCAGGCTCTCTCCCCACTGCCACACACTTCTGAATTCTGCAGCGTGACCCCAGTGCTGGGCACCAAATCAGGCCAGTTTCCTGGTGTCTCGGTCTCAGCAGTGGCCCTGTTCACTCACCAGAGCCTTGTTCTCTCTGTCCCTGCGGATGGTGCCTGCAGAACAAGCCGACAAGTGAGTCGGCAGTGAGCAGCAGTGCAGACCTGACGCACAGCAAGCGGTCCAAGATCAAAGCCGACGAAGACCTGCCCAGCCCAGGACCTCGTGGCCAGCAGGTGAGGTGCCCGACAGCACTCGGTGTCTCTGAGCTCGTCTGCAGGTGCCAGGGTCCTCTTTGTCAGTGCCTCAGCCTCCCCTGTGCAGGGTAGAGCTGTCGGCATCCTGGTGCAGTGCTCTGTCCCCTCTGGCTGGGAGTTGGGCTGCTGCTGCCCAGTCTGTTCTGCCCAGCTGCCTCTGCTCCTTTGACCCAGTGCTCCAAGGGTCAGCTTGCGTCCAGCCTGGCCTCTGTGATCTTCATTCCACTTCCAAGTCTCTGTGAATGACAGGAAAGGAACTCATTAAAGATGGTTCCCTAGATTTAGGGATTGGACAAGAGTTCCCAAAGCCAAAGAATCAAGACCTTGCTACAGCCAGGCTGTTTGGGTGGAAACTTTAAACTGCATTAGTTCTAATTTCCACCTTAGCAATATGAGGTTGGAAGAAATGGATGTAGTGGATTCTGAGTGGGCGCCCTGGGCTCTGAGTGGGTGCACTGGGCTCTCAGAGGGTGTCTTGGACTCTGATTGGGTGGCTTCAGAATTCTGGAAGTCTTTGTATTTCTTTGTTTCCAAGCTTCCTAAAAGCCTAGACATGACGTGCTGCAAGGTTTATGTTCATGGTCTGGGACAGCAGCATTTTCCCAGCAATCAGATACTGAACCCAAAATATGTTTTCCCCGTGGATTCTCTAAGCCCCTCTCCCACTTCCAGCACAGGAAAGACAGAATCGCATCCTAGTAAGCCATTGCTCAACTCCGGGGTGACCCACTAGTGACTGAGAGACTCAGACCGAGAGAAGACCTGTTCCTCTAGACCCGCGATGGGGTGACTGCATAGCTGCTTCTCACCTGGGATGGCACTTCAGGGTTGTTTGTCTTCCTCAGACCTGTCCACGTGACAGCAGCACGTGCCCTGAGTTTCTCATTACTGTTAAGATTGGTTTGTTGTCCTCCATCACAAGTTAAGCATCTCTGAACACACGTGTGTTGGATATCTGGAGTAAAGAAGGGGTACACTAATGATTTCAGTGAGTCACCTGACTCTATTGATAGGTCTGAGTCCTATTTCTATTTTTCTGAAAAATGGCATTAAGACAAAAACGACTTCAGGTTTTGGCTTTCCTTCATGATCTGCCTTCTAATATTGCCTGAATTTGTCCCTTTCTCCCCCTCCCACCATCTAGGAACAGCCCGAAGGAACAACCCTGGTGAAGGAGGAAGGGGACAGAGATGAGAGTAAGCAGGAGCCTGACGTCATCTATGAGACCAACTGCCAGTGGGAGGGCTGCTCACGGGAGTTTGACACACAGGAGCAGCTGGTGCACGTGAGTGAACGGTCCGGGAGCTGGGCTGGACCCACTGCATGACCTTTTCCATGGGATCAGCTTCCGTGACCCTGTGCCGAGTCAAGTTTCTTAGCTAGCAGCATTGCAAACTGGAGAGGGCTTTATGGCTCCCCGAGAATAAAGAAAACGAGCTGCGGTGCTTGACCTGTTCACTCAGCTAAAGCTTAGTGTAAAATTCAATAAAGTCTTCAATAGAGAGTGTAATGACTCTGATCCACTAAGCCAGAAAACACTATTTTGAGTCAGCGACTTTGATGGTTATTGAGTAATAGTAAGCTGGACATGAATTATTATTAAGCTTTTAACCAAGCTTGATTCTCCTTTCCAAGAACCAGAAATGATGGAGGGGGGAGGTAGGTGTGGGAGGCTCCTTTTTCCCATTCTGTCCTCCGTGGCTCTGCCCAGCCGTTAGCCTGTCTGAAGATGGTGGGTGCCGGCAGGTCACCGTTAGCTCAGCTTTCTGACCAAGGGCCAGCCCTAGCAAGGCTAATCGTTTCAGCAGGAAAGTGACATGTATTTCAAAGTGTGCTTAATGAGGACGGCCAGTTACAGCACACCCGGTTCAGAAGCTGTCTGCTAGCTGGCTGTGTGCTGTTCCCGCTGTGCAGGGCCCTCTGCAGCACCTCCCTGATGAGACGTTTCCCTTTGTCGGACTGCACTTCATCCAGCACTGTGCAGGCCAGTGGAGTCTTCCCTGTAAATGGGCCCAGAATAGCTAGATGGAGGCATTTAGATAATCAGGAATGGGAGCTGGAGGCTGTTCTGTGCAGAAGGCTTGGAGTACCATTAAGGTATTCAGGGTGCTTTACTTAGTGTGGCAGTTCCATAAGCTTTCAATACAGTGGAAAATCTGACAAAGAAGATCTTTTTCCCTGCACCCCCCTCCCACCAAGCCCCACTGCACACAGACTCACACAAGCACGCACACACATGCAGTCGCTCTAAGCTCTGTTGGTTATGTTAACTTGTTTTTAGATGATCCACATTTCTCGGAGACCCTCCTCCATTTAAACATGGTGGTGATCAAATCCTTCTATAAAAATTATAGAATTAGAGCATTCCTCCCAAATACTTCAAGTCCACAGGAGTTCTAAACTGTCTCCTGAGTCTTTGCCCAGCCTAGGTAATATAGACCACCACTGCAGGTGCATTCTGGGGTTAAATATCTGGTTGGCCATGTTTTGAGATTCATTATATTCAAAATGTTTGGGGGATTTAGGATGACATCAAGTGAATCTTCCCATTCCTATTTCTTTTGTAATCATGTCTTATAATTTTAGAGGAAGACTCACAGATTTCTCAGCACAGCAAGGCGGTAGAAAGTCAGATGTTTTTAATTAAGGTACATTTCAATGAACCTAATTTGATTCTTTCTCTTTAATTTGATGCAAGTATTATTTTTAAGCCAAGTTCCACTTAATGGTTCTTTATTCTTGCTGGCTGTTTTAATAGTAACCACAGGCATTGTAATACTAAGAGGGAAAAAAGTTTGGAATTTTTCTTTGTGTTCAGGGAATGTCCTCAAAGAGTGGAGTGGATCATGCTAGGAATACTCTTTAGTGAGGAAAAGAATGAACACACAAATTCAGACAATTTGCATTTGTATGAAGAATGAGACCATTGCATTTTTAAAAACAGAATTAATGTATTGTGGTAACATTTTATGTTTTAGGTATAATACTGTATTTAGGTATAATACTGTATAATACTATAAAAATATATATCTAGTAGTGTATAAAACTAAAAATCTAGAGCCACACTTTATCAATACTTACCTGTTTTACCCTCCTCTTTCTTTTAGTAACTAATCTTACAGTCTAAACATTTATTTCAGTTTACTTTCTTTTGTTCTGAATATATCATATTAGATAAAAATCACAGGATATTTGGCTTTCTCTGGCTGGAATATTTTATTAATACCTTAGGTTCATGGGAATGTTGCTGCAAATGGCAGAATTCCATCTTTTTTCAGTAGCTTAGTAGCATTCTCTAGTGTATATATGCCACATCATCTTTACCCAATTGTCTGTTATTGGGTATTTAGGAAGTTTTCTGCTCCTGGAAATTATAAATAATGCTGCAGTAAACATGGAGGTATGTATATTTCTTTAAAGTAGTGTTTTTGGATTTGGGAAATAAATACATTAGAAGGGGGTAACTGTGTTGTGCGGAATTTCAGTTATAAATATTTAGTGGACTCTCCAGTTGCCCCAGTTCAGCCTACATCCTTTGGAGAGTGAAGCTGTCTGGAGATGCTTTCTGTAGATAAGCCATTATAGTTTCAAGGACTTCTGTGATCATGGTTCAGCTGTTACAGATGACGAATGAAAGAGACACTTTATTCTAAATCTACATGTCAAATGAATTGCATTCATTAGAAGACTTGTTTGAGGGAGCATTATGAGGAGTGGGGCAGTAATAACCTTTTTTAGAAATTGCTTAATGTGGGCACGTTAGAAGGGTGGTGAATAGGTATTTATGTATAATTTCTATTTCAAAAGATTTTAGGTGGTGATTATGTTTTAATTGAGAGATCTGAGTCCTGTTAGGGTAAAACTGCTAAAATGGTCAACTAGATCAGTGTTTTTTTTTTCCAGCCTGAGTGTCCCCACTGTATTTTAAAGAGGCTGCATGTAAAAATTGGGTAAATGCTGGGCATGGCACGAGAGTAGGGTGCCAGTCAGTGGGAAAGGAGGAACCATGGGAAGGAAGCCAGGTTAGAAGGGAACCATAGCTGTGAAAAGGCTTTGAAACAAAAAAATTAAACAAATCATGTTGCTTGTTTCATCCAATATTTTTAAAAAATAAGAAATAAAAGAGATAAAAAATTAAGTCCAAATCAGCTGGGATAATATTCATGTCATAATTAGAAAAGAATCCAATATGTCCACTTTCTGATACTAGTTTTAGTCTGAGATAAAGTCTGTGGATAACTTAAGTGCATTAAAATTTTGATTTACAAGAACAAAAGCAAAGCCACAGCTTTTGTCACTGACTACCTTCTTCATCACTGTGCAGTGTGGGTATTCTGTGTCTGTGTGTTCAGATTTACTTGACTCTGTTGGATACTCTGGGACCTTCCTACTCAAAGCATGTCTGCTCGCATCCACAGGGTCCTGGTTTAGATTAGAGGCTTTATTTGATTGATTGAACAGGATATACTTCAAGTCCACCTGATTACTTTGGTAGTAGTTGGGGGGGGGGGTGGATTGCCAGTTGCAAAATCTACATTCTTAGGGTCTGAGGGAAGTTTGAACGGTTTCTGTTACTATGGGACATTTTGTGACTCAGTTGAATTTTGCTGCTACCTGCAACTAAGAGGTGAGACATCAGAGCTTTCTGGGGCTCTGCCTTATTTACAGCCTGGCCATTCTTTGGCTCCCTCTCACAGTTAATAGAAAGATTCATGATTCTTCATGGCTGTCTATCTCATGTCTGACAGTCCCGACTCCCTGCTAAAGCAAGTCACTATCTATAATTGATATCCTCTGTGGAATGGGGTACTCGCTGCAATTGAAGGGTTTTGCTGAAAGCTCTTAAATCCTGACAAGTTCTCCCCTTGTTCTGGCCCAGTCGTTGAGCTGCACGGGTGGAATTCCAGAGTTAGTTGAACTTGGTGCAAAGAAGGGACACGTGTTTTCCACCAGCAAATCACTGAAGAGTATAATGAGGACCCGGCTGACTTTGCCTGCCAGGCAGTGTCATTTCCCGTGTACAGCACTTAGTGTTCTCTTGAAAAGATTACCTCATCCTGTTACTGTCCCAGCAGATGGGCTAAATACTGCCTTTTCCTTCTCCTCTCCTTTATTTCAGGACCCTGTATTTCTCCAACTGTGTGTTTATTCTGAGTTTGCTGTGGGGTCTTTATCATCGACATTTAATTAATTTATCTTCCCAGGAAGATAATTATAATTTGGCTTACTTACTCTTAGGCTAGGATTAAGTTTGTCATAAATTTGCTTATATGCCCAGAAGCTAAGAGGAAAAATATATATATATACACATATAATTAGTTCTTGTCGTAGTTGGGCCCTTTCTTATTGCCATTCAAAGCAAGGAAAAGAGAAGAAGAGAAATCTGTAGTACAAAAATTGAATTCTAAAGTACCTTTGATTAATAATAAATTTATTCTTGATTTGTCATGATACAAGTGTTTTCTCTCTCCTTTGACATTTGAAATAAATAATTTAACATTTCAAAATAAGTTGAGAAATCCATATTTTCCTTTCAATTCTGAATGAGTGAGACTGTTTGCTGCCATGCATTTTATGTTACAGATAATGTGAATCCTAAATTGGAATTAGTTTCTGAAAGTTGTAAAATGTTGGTGCTCGAGTTCTTGTTTTTAATGTTGTACACACACACACACACATTCACACACACACACACACACACAGGTTCTGGCTTTTATTGTTATGGTAAACAAATCCATATCCTTCTTCTGACTATTCTCTCCTGCCCAGTTGCTGTTGGTCCTGAGACCCATCACCCACCCTCTGTTCCCTCTATCCTGAACCAGCCTTTGACTTTCTGGTGACAAACCGACATATCATGTGCACAAGTTCCTGCTCAGATTTCTGAATCAAGCACATTTTGCTTCTGAATGACTCCATGGAGGCCACCCGTGTTTTAAAAAGCTTTTAAAAAAATAGGACAAGAGCACCTGTGAAGAATGGGGGCCAGTAACTCGCCAGCCCTGAGAACATCCCTTACGGGATCTGAGAGAATAAAAAGGATAATGGCCACCCCTGAGTGTCCGCTTGCTTCTAGGACCTTCCCTCTGTTTATTTCAGTGATCATGTCTGCTGAAAGACAGCACGCACAGCCGTGCTGTCCCTCCTAAGACCTTCACAAAGCTGAATCACTTTTTAGTAGTTTTATTCCCCACCCTGATTCGGGCAGGCAGCCCTGCAGGCGGTCCTCAGCAGCTCCGTTGTGGGGTGTCTCCTTCCCTCCTTGAGGGACTGCGGTGAATGTGA